ATGGCACACGAAAATCTAAGGAATTTCAGAAAAAAAGTGTAGCAATTTGATGTGAACTAATACGTTAAAATGGAAACAAAAAAATCCATTTCATGATGGAGTTGTCCACAGCCCCATAAAACTTGGAAAATAACCACTGACGAGTAAGATATTGGATCAAACTCACTCTTTGTTAAACGTGAACTTACCAATCTTTTGCTCGTCATTGGCTTTCGTTGTAGTTTATTCGAACTATGGACAAGTTTGTAACTTTGATAATCTTTGTTACAATTTTTGTATTAGTTCAAATTACTGTGTTTCCAACAAGATCCCCGTCAGCGATTGCTCACGTCCGCCATACGTCTGCGTCAATCTAGAGTCTAAAGTCCCAAACAAAGTACGAAGTCAAGTGGTCCCGACTTCGCCAGCTATGGCGGACCAGTTACATTCAGGAATCTAAAAGATCTATGAAGATAGTTTTATAAGCGCAGCTTGAATTAGCAGACTTGTTCAAAATAATCGTAACTGCAAACCGTTAATCCTCCTCATGCATCACCTGCGCAAAGTAATTCAGAGCAGCGCAGCTCTCTGTTGAACATTAAAATACAAAACTGGAGTGTCGTAACAGAGTCAAGCGACCTTACTTGATATTAAAAAATCTAAAAAGTAATCCGCATGTATCAACTCAATGTCACACTTCTATTTGTACTATTTCCGACACTAACGCGATAAGTTATAAGAGAGGAAGATAAAGGTAATGAGTTAAATCTTTGCCATTGACACACTTACGAAGAATTTATCACTTAAAGATTTACACTTTCACAGGATACTATTTGCATTCAAGCAGTCTTCCAGCAAAGCTTTCGTTTTGGCTTCCTCACTTTGGATAAGATCTAGCAGATCGCGGAAAACTACTTATTTCTGCCTACGGACAGTACGGAAATTTGAGAATTTTTGTTCCCCCTAAATTATCAAATCCTCCATTTTTAGGCATTTGATTAGGAAAAATCTGAGGAAACTTCCATAATACAACCATATAAATTTCAATATAAGCTTAAGAAAGGAAGTTTGCGGAATCACGCTTTAGAACATGACAACATTTGGCGCCGCGAGGAGCTTCCCTTTTGGAAATTGACAAATCTAAAAGGTAAAGTGTTTTTTGCTTATTTTGTAATGCCACAAAAAATCGGCTAAGGAGCTGATTCAATTAGAAAAAAGCTTTTCAACTTTGCCTCTCTTCATTCAACTTAGTCAACGGCTTTTCCACCTTTCACCATTGATTTCCAATTTTTAAGTCAAACAACGAGTTATACTGCTATTTTTCACAAATTTCCCACACCTGGTTCTCTATTTTCCTTTTCTGTGCATCTAACATCTTCGTTTCGTGTTCCTTCCTTTTTTCGTAAATTTTCTGGCGAACGTGGAAGTGCTCTAGCATTATTTCACCGATAGTAGCGTAGTTCTTCAAACGACCAAATGGATCGAATAACACCTGAAAAGTTTCAGATAAACCATTTACACAGCTCTAGTTAGTGATTGTTGCGATTGAGACTTGCCATTGAATTTGTCGTTAACCTTGTGCACAGCTTGAATTTCTTCATCAATTCGGAATAACGTCCAGCAGGTCTTCTACATCGTGTAGTAAATTCTCTGCTTAACTCAACCAAAAATCGCACATTTCTTTCTGTGTGATATTCTTTGAAGCCGCTTAAAAAATGTTATATTACTTCTAGCGTTGGAAATAACTAAATAGTAACCAGTAATTCATCCGATTCCGATCCGGCTAATTCTTTAATTTAGTCTACCACTTTTTATTGCCCTTTGTTCAAAAAAAAAACTTTTTTCATCAGATAGATAGTCTCATCCAAAAAAGCAGTGATTAGTTATCAATCAGTTAAAAGGGGATGGTCTTCTAGTGTCGCAACGGCATCAACAGAACCACCCTCGTTTTTTTCCCATTTTCAAAAATCCAAATGTAAAGATTTGCCCCAACCTTATAATTCCAATCTTCTGTAGCGCATGTAACGTATTTTGTTTGTATCTATTCGTCCATTCTCCTACAGGTAGTTCAGTGATTTCAATCCTTAAAAGATTGTTGAACGTGGCTTCTATCTATCCATATATCAATCCATAAACCATATATTAAATGCTAATCAACACTGAGTTTTCACCTCAGGTTTGGTGCATTTCTCCTTTGTAATGGAATGATCTTATATTTTCCGCTGATTTCATAGCTATTCTCCGCTAGTTCCTCGATTTTTCCAGAGAAGTCCGAAAACGATGGTATCTGTAAGTTAGAAATTTGATATCTTATATAATAATATATTGTCTATTACTTTTACCATCTTCTCCATTTCATCTCCATCAATCATCCTCCGAACATTATCGATTACGTCGAAGATATTGTGATTGAGTATAAGTGTTGACCATCCTGTGCCTACACCTTCTGCGCCATTCACCAAAACCATAGGAATAATGGGACAGTACCTTAAGATAATCAGTTGTTTAGAAAATGGAGGGAGTGGAAGAAACTTACCAATCAGGTTCAATGAGTTGATTTTCCTCCTGTAGATAGGTAAGAAGTTCATCGTCAGCAGCTGGGAAGATCTGGCGGGTTAAAGGGCTAAAAGTTTTGTATATCAAACGCTCTGACGTTGAAAACTCTACTCCAACAAATATTATAAACTTGTTCAAACTAAAAGACAAAAAAAGAAGTTTTCTATGGAAATAAATAATAATGCTAATTACCTTAACTTCGTGTAGATATATCTAGCACTAGCGGCATCACTACCTCCCTCGTGCCTGGTGCCAAA